GCTATTCCTTCAGTGTAGAGGACTAATATCTAGACTATATAAAGAACTCAAAAAATTAGGCCTCCCAAAATAAGAGACCCAATCCAAAAATGGGGAACTCAAATAGACACTTTTCAGAAGTACAAATGGCCAATAAATACATGAAGAAATGTTCAACATTGCTGGCCATTAGAGAAATGCAAATTAAAATAACACTGAAATTCCATCTCCAGAAAAAATGGCTATCATCAAGAAATCAAGTATTAAAAAAAAAAAAAGAAATCAAGTATTAACAAATGCTGGTGAGGCTCCAGAGGGGAAAAGGAATCCTTCTACATTGTTGGTGGGAATGTACACTAGTATAACCACTATGGGAAGCAGTTTGATGAGTCCTCAAAAAACTCAGAAATCGTATTAGACTCAGCTATTCATCTTCTAGGTATTTTCCAAAAGATTTAAATAAAGACATCATATTACAGTGACACATGCAAACCCATGTTTATATCAGCACGATAATAACTGAATCTTGGAAGCAGCTTATATGTCCATCAACAGATGGATAAAGAAAATGTATTTATATACAGTGGAATACTACTCTGCCATAAAGAAGGATAAATGAGTCATTTGTAGGAAAATGGATGCACTTTGAGACCATAATGTTAAGTGAAATAAACCAAGCACACAAATTGCATGGTTTCTCTTATATGAGAAATACGAAATGTAAGTGTAAAGAACAAAATAAAAAGATAGATAATAGGAAATAGGGGGTAGATCTTTTGCTGAAGAGAAGGGGACCAAGAGTTAGAGGGGGGCGGGTAGAAGGGGAAGGAAATGAAAAAGAATTAATATTTGTTATATATGTACCAACTCCCCACAAGGAATGTAACCATCATGTACTGCAAAATGTACTAATAAAAATACAAATATTTTTTTAAATGAAGGAAAGTAAGGTGTGAGTAACCTTAATATGACAACTAGGGTGGTTTACCTAAGGGTACCACTGAATGGAGCCATTCAATAGTAACCCTGAGCAAGGGCAGAGAAGGAGGGGAGAGGAGGAAGACCAGAGAAAAGGGAGGAAGTGATGGGTAGAGAGGTGATAGGTAGTAGAAAATTGGAAGAAGCGGGGCATGGTGGTGCACACCTGTAATCCCAGCACTCCGGAGGCTGAAGCAGGAGGATTGCTGTGAGTTCGAGGCCAGCCTGAACAACACACTGAGACCCTGTCTCAAAAGAAAAAAAAAAATTAGAGACTGGGAAATAAGAGATTTATGGATTAATCCTGTAATCCTAGCTCTTGGGAGGCTGAGGTAGGAGGATTGCCACAAGTTAAAGCCAGCCTGAATGACATAGGGAGACCTTATCTAAAAAACAACAAAAACCAAACACCTGGGCCTGGGATTTAGCTCAGTGGTTCTGGCACCTGCCTCGCAAGCGCAAGGTCCCGAGTTCGATCCCTGGTACCAAAACAAACAAACACCCCCCCCCAAACAAAAAACAAGAAAAGACTAGGAATATACTCAGTGTAAAGGCCCTGAGTTCCAAATAGAATAAACACTCAGATTCTTACTCATCAGTGTGGGCGTTCTTTGAATAAGTCACGTGGGAAGGTGAGGAAAGGGGTGCAGCATCTCCTGAGGTCCTCTGATGTGTGATCTCTATATTTCTGATCAAAGTGAAGTAATATCAAAATAGGGTTGAAAATAAGGTTAGTTGGGCATGATGGCATGTGCCTGTCATCCAGCACTTAGGAGGCTGAGGCAGGGGGATTGCCCCGAGTTGGAGGCCAGCCTGTGCTACATAACAAAACCTTGTCTCAAAGAAACATAAAACAAAAAAGAAAATAGGGTAGGGCTGGCCGTGGTGGTGCATCCCTATAATCCCAGCACTTAGGCAGCTGAGGCAGGAGGATTGCCATGAGTTTGAGGCCGGTTTGAACTGCACAGGGAGACACTGTCTCAAAAAAATAATAATAAATAAATTCAAAAACAAGATAAAGTAAACTTGGGCTGGGGATTTAGCTCAGTGGTTCTGGCGCCTGCCTCGCAAACTCAAGGTCCCAAGTTCGATCTCCGGTACCAAAAATAAAAAAAGATAAAGTAAACTAGAGGCATACATTTTCCTTTTCCTCTTTTTTTTTTTTTTTTTTAAATTTGAAGCAACTATGCTTTGGAAGAGTGGCAGACTTCTCTCAGTTAATGCCTCTGCTGTGAGCTTTGAAACGCTCCGCCAGCACCCAGCTGTCATGTTCAGACTTCAGCTTCGAAGACCAGAGCTCCTTTTTCTCGTCTAAGAAGTTGATAAACATGTAGGTGCGTGTAGGTGTTTCCTGGGACATCTGAGGTGTTGTCACCCTGCCGTGTACTCAGGCCGGTGGCGTGGGTTAGCGTGCTGCCCAACATAGCAGGGGAAAGGGCTATGCCCCCTCACACAAGCGTCCATGGAAGCGGCTCCCGACTTAGCCTAGGTCAGCTTCAGTTGGTTTTGCTTTCTACAGTGCTGGGGATCTAGGTCTTCAGGCACGCCAAGCACAAGTTCCACCCCGGAGCTCCATACCCAGTTCCGCGTCGGTCTTCTGTGAGAGATTTTCCTCTCACTTCTCATCTGGTTTGGAGTTCAGGTGCTTTTGTTCTAACTGTTCTATCTTGAGTAGACATTACCTGTTTCCAGGAACTTAGAACTGTTCTTTTGGGAGAAGGGAGAGAAATAAAGGATGTAAAATCCTGTGAAGGGCTGCTTTCTGTGTTGACCTAGCTGTTTGCCCTCGTTCGGCTATTGTCAGTATTTAAGGTTCCTGTTACTTAGTTCTACTTAATCAGAGCAGAGGGACAGAGTGGAGGGAGTGTTGAAGTAAGTCTAGCTGAGCGTGGTAGTGCACACCTGTAATGCTAGGCTGAGGCAGGAGGATCACTGTGAGTTTGAGGCCAGCCTAGGCTCCATAGTGAGTTCAAGGCCGGCTTGAACTACAAGACCCAGTCTGAAAGAAAAAAAATCTGAGCATCAGTTTCCAAGTTTTAAAAGGGAAATAACACAGGGCTGGGATGTAGCTCAGTGGTTCCACCAGCTGCCTCGGAAGCGCGAGGTCCTGTCTAGTATAACTCTATCTGGTACCACTTCCCTGGAGTAATCAGCATCCTGGAGATGAATGCTAATTTCATCTCCAGATTTTTTTTCCTATCTCTCTTTTGTGTTGGTGGTGGTGGTGGTGGTAATAACTGGGGTAATTAATAGCTTTTTTTTTTTTTTT